CACACGACTCTGCGTAAAGTGACGGCCAATACTGCCATATACTACGATCCCGACCCTCTCAACAGCGTTATCGTTGAGGATCAGGAGTTTGTGAACGTTTACTACGAAATGCCAGACTTTGACACCTCTCGCATCAGTCCATGGCTTCTGCGCATAGAATTGGACCGAAAGAGGATGACAGACAAGAAGCTGACGATGGAAGCCATCGCCGAGAAGATTAACGCTGGGTTTGGAGAAGACCTGAACTGCATCTTCAACGACGACAACGCGGAGACACTCGTACTTCGGATCCGTATTATGAACTCTGAGGAGAAGATGGAAGAAGAAGAACAGGTCGATAAGATGGAGGACGACGTCTTCCTCAGATGTATTGAGTCCTCAATGTTATCAGATATAACTCTTCAGGTATTTTCCTCTCAAGAAAGTATTAATTGTAAACTCTTTATAAAAAACATTTAACATTTTAATAGGGAATTGAAAGCATAGTCAAAGTATATATGCATTTACCGATGACTGACAACCAGAAACGTATTGTTATCACTGATACGGGAGAATACAAAGCCATTGCCGACTATCTTCTCGAGACCGACGGCACATCACTAATGCGTGTGCTGTCGGAGCCCGATGTGGATCCCGTCCGCACCTACTCTAACGATATTTGCGAGATCTTCGCGACCCTTGGTATCGAAGCTGTCCGGAAAGCCGTAGAGAAAGAGATGAATCATGTGCTCAGTTTTGACGGTTCGTACGTAAATTACCGACATTTAGCCCTTTTGTGTGACGTAATGACAGCGAAAGGCCATCTCATGGCAATCACTCGACACGGAATCAATCGTCAAGACGTCGGCGCTCTTATGCGCTGTTCCTTCGAAGAGACGGTCGATGTGTTGATAGACGCGGCCTCTCATGCGGAGGTCGACCACTTGAGGGGCGTCTCCGAGAATATAATGCTCGGACAGTTGTCGAAGATCGGGACCGGGGCTTTCGGCATGCTTTTGGACCCGGATAAGTGCAAACTGGGCATTGAAATACCAACAAATATTCCAGGAATGGGAGGATTGGGTAAGTGTTTTAAAATACTAATCGAGATTCTGTTAACAATATATAATTATTACATTTAATTTATAGGAACCGGAATTTTCTTCGGCAGCGCTGACTCGCCATCACTGGCGGGTATGACACCACAGATGACTCCTTGGGGAGCACAGGGGGCCACTCCGGCCTATGGCCAGGCCTGGTCACCCGGACTGGGGCTCGGAATGACTCCTTCATCGGCCGGCTTTTCGCCGTCTGCCGCTTCTGATGCAAGCGGTCTATCGCCGGGATATTCGCCCGGTTGGTCACCACAACCCGGTTCACCCGGCTCTCCATCGGCATACTTGACATCGCCGTCCTATTCGCCAGCCTATGCCCCGATGTCTCCCGGAGCCGGACCCTCGAGTCCCACATATTCTCCGACGAGTCCTTCTTATTCGCCGACGTCTCCCAACTACTCGCCCACGAGTCCTAACTATTCGCCCACAAGTCCCTCATATTCACCGACAAGTCCTTCGTATTCACCGACCAGTCCTTCCTATTCACCAACGAGTCCCTCGTATTCGCCAACCAGTCCTTCATATTCTCCGACCAGTCCTTCGTATGTTTGCTCTCTATTTGACACTAATTTAAAGAAATTAAATTTTTGAATATTTTTTATTTTAGTTATTCTCCGACGAGTCCTTCATATTCGCCGACTTCGCCGTCATATTCACCAACGAGTCCGTCGTATTCACCGACCAGTCCCTCGTACTCTCCCACCAGTCCCTCCTATTCCCCGACCAGTCCATCGTATTCTCCGACTTCGCCCTCTTATTCGCCGACCAGCCCTTCATATTCGCCGAGCAGTCCGTCGTATTCGCCGACGAGTCCCTCCTATTCGCCGACGTCTCCCTCTTATTCACCTACCAGTCCGTCGTACAGCCCTTCGTCTCCCTCTTACTCTCCCGGTTCGGGCAAATACAGCCTCTCTTCGCCCAACTACTCGCCTACGAGTCCGACATACAGTCCATCGTCGCCACGCTATACACCGGCCTCTCCGAGCTATTCACCCACGAGTCCGTCCTATTCGCCGACGAGTCCGTCCGGATATTCGCCGACATCACCCACTTATTCGCCGAGTTCTCCCAAATACACTCCGGCCAGTCCTTCGTACAGTCCCTCATCGCCGCAGTACTCGCCGGCCAGTCCTCAGTACTCACCCACGAGTCCCACGTATTCGCCAAACAGTACCCGCGGATCGCACTACTCGGCCGACACCAGCAGTGGTGGCCAATCATATTCACCGACCAGTCCTTCCTATTCGCCGGCGAGTCCTGTCGACGACGACGACGACGATTGAGTGCCACCACTGATGGGATGGACGGACGTATCAATTGCTCAAATATATTCAAATTTTATCAATTAATTTTTCATTTAAATAATTCAATGTTTTAATAATAAGTCTAATTAATAGTTACTTTTTAAATTATAATATTTTGAAAGATAATAATAACTTTTAATTATTGGTTTTTCTACTTTCTATACGTCAAAAAATGTTGAATTTGCAACTTATATTTGATATACTGGTAAATTAAAATTATGAAATCTAAATTAAAAATATTATCTAATAAAAATTATAAAAAACAAAATGCATAAAATATAATAATTATAAATCAAATAATTGTAATTAATATAATTAATTATGGAATAAAATAAATGACAAACTTTATTAAGTGTGCTTTCATTACATTTGTGGTTATCCTCGTAATAGTCGGCATATTTACCAGGAATTCATTTGTTAATCAATTTAGATATAACATACGTATATGGAGTAGAATTATAACATCATATACAAATAATGGGATTGGTCATTTTAATCATTTTATTATAAAAGCTCGTTTTATTTATCAATTAACAAATACAAACATTCAATAAATTACTAAAACTATTAATAAAAAATAAATAATAAATCGTTTGTTTGAATAAATATTGAGTTAATAAAAAGTGTCAGAAAAACACAAACCTATTATAAAAACTTTTAATTAATTCACTTTTCGGTCAAATTTAAGTAACTTTTTTAGACTCAAAGTCAATGAATTTGTGGTCTTATTATCAAAGCCTTTGTTGCGTGAAATGAATGATTTCTTTCCACAACTACTCGTACTCTCAGTTCTCTTCATTTTAATCTCATTTTTAGGACTACTATTGAGTGACAAATAATTTGTTTTCAATATATTTGTAGAAAGGGTTGAGTTTGAAGACACACCCGAAGTGGACGAGTGACAGGAACTGCACGCCCCGTTTGTCAGACCCGCGCCAAACGGCTCACCATTTGATGGCTTACTTGTTGTGACGGACGCGTTGCCGGTCGTCAGTGCGGGTGTTGACTGAGATTTCAATATTAAAGGGTCTTTGGATGCGCTTTCAAATTGAATGCACTTTAAAGGGTCTGAATTAAGGAGAAGTGCCGGTGACTCCAAACTCTGTGATATGGGAATCGCGGCATTCAATGACTGGGCCTTTCGCTTCTTCTTTCGGATCTATACGACATTCAAATAATCAATTGTTAACACTATTAACACAAATCCCAAAACAATGCATACCTTTCTTTGAGCATTTGTGGCGCTCTTGTTATTAGCCAACACTTCCGGAGGTTTATTCTCATCTTAACGTAACAAAAATACAATACATTTAATATAAAATTCCATTTAAAAGTGTTAAAAAAATACCTTCAATTTTAAGTGTTTTTGTGGGCAAATGACAGGGACTTCCGTAAGGGTGGGTGCGTTTGTTGGGCGAGAGGAGAGCTGCCGGGAGTATAGCGGCGCCGACGACAGACCCGTTGGCCGGTATTTGATGAGTTTGGGCCGCGAAGTGAATTCTTTGTGACAATCGGTGGCCAAACATAACGAGAAATACGATTACAATAATCACTTCAACCATCATAAGCGCGATATGCACTTCGATGTAATGCCAGTTCAGATCTTCACGATCTCGTATTAGAGCCGCCATTTCGGCCGATAATGTGTTTAGTTTTGTTTCCAAAGCCGCTATACTTTCCTGTTGTTTCAGATCCTAACAAAACAATTCATTCATTAATTTAATTGCGAGAGAGAGAGAGAGAGAGAGAGAGANATACAGGTGTGCTATGTATGGGGGGAGAGAGAGAGCGCTTACTCTTTCGGCAGCTCTAATGTTGGTGTCATTGAGTTTACTGATGGTGATATTAAACGCCTTCTGCATTTCCTCCATCTGTTTGCGATACCTTTGACTCAATTGTTCCAAATATTGCGAACTCAACGACAGATTCACTTCGAGTGCTTTAATCCGATTGGACAGCCGTATGACCACCGACTCCTTGGTTTGGCCGATAGTCGCGCCGTTACTTATATAGCCGTTTACATTATTATTGCCGTTCAATGGCTGTCCATTCACTGGTGCGGTGTTCTGTCCATTAGTTGCCACGGCTTGTTGACCATTCATTTGCGGACCACTGGTGGCCACTGATCCCTCACCAGTCGTAATATTATTAACCGTTTCATCGCTTCCACCGTTTGTCTCGTTATTAGTGGAAACAATGGGCAAAATGTCTTCGGCAGTGACGGGCGGAAACTTCGAGGATTCACTGCTTGACGAGTCATTGGAAAGGGTTTGTATAGTTGGCTCTCCTTTAGCCGCGTCATCGGTAGACAGTTGTTGCACATCATTGCCATCGCTGGAGAGAACATGACTGGCCATTACGGATGTGGATGAAGGCGTCGATCGGGCAAACGTGGCCCCAGTGTCCACAATTGAGGCGCTATTAAAAGAGGGAACGCTGCTATCGATGGCATTAGAGACGGGTGCGGCCGCCCAGTCATCCATTATAGGTTTTGTCGGTACGATTGAACCAAAATTCTCGGCCACAAGACTGGATTCAACGTTAATCGAGTCATTATTGCCGGTGAGACCAGCATTTGTCTGTTCGGCGTTGCATTGAAACAGACCAGTGCTGCCGATCCTAAAAACTCTTTAAAACCATTTAATAATTTTATTTTAAAAACCAATTATCAATACCTAAAGTGACGTTCTTAGCGGACACACCGGCGTAATGGAAAGTATTGAGTGTCATTTGAGTGGCCGGTTCTCCCAGTGATTGGGCGGCCAATGGACCGACCATTTCTCCCGGTTGTACCTGTGATTGTTGGAAACGGGTTTCAATCTCACCGATCAGCCAATCAAAGGCTTCGCTAGAGAGCCGGTCCTGTTCTGTGATCTTTCGGGTGCATAGAGTGGACCTCAAAAGTGTCCGGAAAAGTAGTGTTGCATTTTGATTGGCCTGAACTGACAGTCTGTCTTCTCCCTTCACAATTGTGAGTCGTTTGACGAGTCCCTCAACGCTGTCGATCACTTTGAGGGGCGAGAGGTCTGTCTGTCCCCTGAGGTTCACGTGAAAGATCTTCTGTGCGTTCCATATCATGCGGTTTAGATTACACGGCATATGAATCCTCGGGTCAGATGTCGGGAATATTGTCCGCAATATCTCGCGATCGGCTTTCAAACGATCCCATTCTAGTTCCAACTCAGAGAGTGAGGAACTGTTGCCAAGAACTTCCTGCACCACTTCTTCGGTGAAGATTCTTTACATACAATTTATAGGGTTTAGGAAATTCAATCACAAATTGTTTTTAAATCATAACTAAATTAAATGGTCATTACTTTCGCAAATAGTGTTCATTAGTGACATCAAACTTAAACCTCTCTTTTAATGCTTTGTCGCTGGGCTTAAGGGTCGGCAGGCTTTGTAACTCGACGGCCACCGGTAGGTTCGGCAGGAGAGGCATTGCGTTAACTTACTGGACTGGCAATCTCAATGCCTGTCACGGCAGCATACACTGGTAGTGACTGAGGTACCGAAACTATTCAGCCGCGACTTATATTGGTCAATCGGCTGTTTTACAGGCCGTATCGATCAGACCTAAACATCAAACAAAATGGATTGATAAATATAAAGTGAAACAATTATTGATGAAATGTTTGAACACAAACCTTCGCGACCACCCATGGAGTGGAAGAAGAACTCGGTTGGCCAGTTTGGCCGGTTTATCCTCAAGAGCTGCTTTGGGGACCTGAGGCCCGGCATTAGCAGAAATTATTTCACGCCTTCTCAAGCGAAGGCCTTGGGTTTGCCATATGCGAAAGGGAGCTGCAAGACAAGGCCGACACAAGCGATAACTTGCGATATATTAAT